TCCTTCCTTCCTTCCGTCCTTCCTTCCTTCCTTCCAGAAAACGGGAAAAAAAAACAAAAAAAAATGGGAAAAAAAACCAAAAAAAATAACCCTCCCATTAGATTTATGCATGGCGTGGCATTGCACAACGCGGCACCTAAAATGGGGGTACCCCCAAATCATCCAAACTTGGACCATTTTAGTGTTGAAACCCTTGGTTTTGAGGGATCCCCCATTTTAGGAAACCTCCATATAGGTAGGTAGCAGGAAGGTATGCTTGATGATCTAGGCATGCATGCCATCTCATGTAGAGCACAGTGTGATACAGCATGCGTTCTTATTTCCAGATGTGCTGTGATAGGGTGCTGAGGCGTTAAGATCTGAGCGGTCAACGCTTTCAGTGAAAGATACCGCCAGGGCCGAAGCCATTGGCAGCATGGAGCACCAGCGAATTGTAAAGCCCTTGACAATCGTTGACAAGTGGCGATGGAAGGCGATGGAAGGTGGCTTGAGATGCGCTCGAGAAAGTGTTGATGGAAAGAAACATCCCATTTGTGTTCACATTGTGTGCGCCTCCTTATTTGCCTCAAGTAGTTTGCTGTATGATTTGTATGTCTGCTCTTACGGTGCTGTGCTGCCTTAATTTGAAACAGCCCTTTGCTTGCCAAAGCAAGAGACGCTTCATCTGCTGGGCGCAGCTTCCGTGCGTGGATGTGCGCGTCACCGTTGCGCACGGAGTTGATGCTTTATCTTTATGCTCCCACCTGCCCCTGCGGCCACCACCAGCATCAGCATCATCGTCAACACCACCACCACAACCAGCATCAATAGCACAATGGATATCATCACCAGTGCCATGTAAGTACTGCAAGTACTATATGTATGTCTTCCTGTGTCTTTGCAAACAGGAGTATCTCTTGGGCCCTTGGGGCCAAACTAAACCAGCGGCTGAGAAAGATCATTTTTTCTTTCCAAGGTCAACTGTCATACTGCCGACTAAAGACTAAAGACCAGATTTCGCTTGCAAGATGCATTTGAATTTGCAGATAATTCGCGGATAAAGCAAGGAAATGAATGACGGTGCCCGCTCAGCTGGCCCGACGTGGGGGAGTGCGTTGACCTCACGTTTTTGTTTGAAGAGTTGTAGTTCCCTGTGGAACTGTTTGTAACTTGAGATCGCTTGACTACTTGGCTGAAGCAAGTGCAAAATTGCTTCTCTCTTGACCAATTTTGATCCTCTGGCCTTGCACACCACGTCCGTTTTGTCGGCTTGTTCGTGGCCTTGGAACAGACCGCTTTCCTAGGTCATTTTGACCCTTTTGACCCTTTTGACCCTTTTGACCCTTTTGACCCTTTTGACCCTTTTGACCCTTTTGACCCTTTTGACCCTTTTGACCCTTTTGACCCTTTTTGACCCTTTTTGACCCTTTTGACCCGTTTGACCCTTTTGACCCGTTTGACCCGTTTGACCCTTTTGACCCTTTTGACCCTTTTGACCCTTTTGACCTTTTGACCCTTTTGACCCTTTTGACCCTTTTGACCCTTTTTGACCCTTTTGACCCTTTTTGACCCTTTTGACCCTTTTGACCCTTTTGACCCTTTTGACCTTGACCCTTTGACCCTTTGACCCTTTTGACCCTTTTGACCCTTTTGACCCCCTTTTGACCCCCTTTTGACCCCCTTTTGACCTTTTTGACCCTTTTGGACCCTTTTGACCCTTTTGACCCTTTTGACCCTTTTGACCCTTTTGACCCTTTTGACCCTTTTGACCCTTTTGACCCTTTTGACCCTTTTGACCCTTTTGACCCTTTTGACCCTTTTGACCCTTTTGACCCTTTTGACCCTTTTGACCCTTTTGACCCTTTTTGACCCTTTTGACCCTTTTGACCCTTTTGACCCTTTTGACCCTTTTGACCCTTTTGACCCTTTTGACCCTTTTGACCCTTTTGACCTTTTTGACCCTTTTGACCTTTTTGACCCTTTTGACCCTTTTGACCCTTTTGACCCTTTTGACCCTTTTGACCCTTTTGACCCTTTTGACCCTTTTGACCCTTTTGACCCTTTTTGACCCTTTTTGACCCTTTTGACCCTTTTGACCCGTTTGACCCTTTTGACCCTTTTGACCCTTTTGACCCTTTTGACCCTTTTGACCCTTTTGACCTTTTTGACCCTTTTGACCCTTTTGACCCTTTTGACCCTTTTGACCCTTTTGACCCTTTTGACCCTTTTGACCCTTTTGACCCTTTTGACCCTTTTGACCCTTTTTGACCCTTTTTGACCCTTTTTGACCCTTTTGACCCTTTTGACCCTTTTGGCCCTTTTGGCCCTTTTGGCCCTTTTGACCCTTTTGGCCCTTTTGGCCCTTTTGGACCTTTTGACCCTTTTGACCCTTTTGACCCTTTTGACCCTTTTGACCCTTTTGACCCTTTTGACCCTTTTGACCCTTTTCCTGATCGTATGTTCCTTCCAAATGTTCTGCAGATTGTGTATTCCTTCTGTTCTTGCCGTGTTGGTTTTCGTT